TGGGAAGCATCTGAGACCCAAATTCCTGTTCTGAGTTGTAATCGCTGAGCAACAGCTGCAGTGTGAGGGCTATGAAAAATGTTTTGGCCTTCACACTAGCTTGCTGAAACTAAACCTGACAATATAATCTCTACTCCTTATTAATCACACCTTGATTTTTGCTATTGTGTAAGCATCTCCTGGAAGTAAACACTAAATCCAGGTCTATTTGCCTCATGACAGTCAAAGCCTGAATTGACCCATAAAAGGTTCATAAGCAAACCCCTCTCACCCACCGGGCAAGTAAATGCACTTGAGAAATTCCAGAAGGAGCCAACTCTGTGCAATGGAAGTTTTGCCATTGACTGTGTCAGTCCCAGCCCTGCTGTCAGCACGGATCCAGGGCAAGGGACAAACACCACCCAAAACACCTGCTCCATCCTTTCCCTTCCCCACTCCTTCTCTCTCCTTCCCCTCCCCGAGCTGGGAGTGAATGGGAAACGGACATTCTCTCCTTTCCCTTGTTCCCCCATTTCCAAGAGCCATTGAGACCTGAAAACTCAGCAGAGCTCTAGCAGCAATTTGAAGTCCATGCCTGTTGCACCCCGAACGGATGAGCAAAGGGCTGTGGATGCGGATGATCACTAACAGATGCTGCTCGGCACAGCCCACAGGGAAATGGGCTGAGCCGTAAGGCAAGACCTTACTGGAATAACGAGAAGCCCCAGAACCTTATTCTCAGCAGATCTTTGTCGTAAGCATGCAGCCGAGCACAATTCTGCAAGGTAATGATGTGCTGGATTTCCCCCTTCCTCTCTCCCTCTCTGAAGGTCACCCAAGGGCAACCCTTTCTGTTCCCACTAAAAGCCTCTGCTCCACGGGATTCTTCACACAGCAAGAAAGGGCATGAGCTGCCCCCACCCTTCACTTGTCCCCTTCAAGGGGGCAGGCCACTATAAGGCTGAAATTTCAATAAAAAGGCAGTTGAGATGGAGGCAGATGAGATATCCATCCTGTAATGTTCAGAGGAAACCATCCTGCAAAGCATAGCTCTTATAAGAACTGGAATTAAAATTTCCTTAAATAAATATAAGGAAAGAGTCCATGAGGGAGAGCAGCCAACAGGAGCAGGGAGTTCGTGCTTGGGTCAGCCTCTGTCGTCCATCACCTCGCAGAGCTCCCAGACGGATTGCACCAAGGGCAGGCCAGCTTAGGGCACAACTGGTGGTGGCTTCGTGTCACTGTTCCTATCGACGCCATCTGCAAACGGAAAGAGCTGCTGCGTCCCTGTGGTCCAGCACCAGCACTGCCACACGGCCCACCAGGTACCGTACCAGAGCAGCACAGTGGTGCTCTCAGGACCAGGTTCTTTCATCAGCCGTGGTCAAATGGCAACCAGCTCACAGGAATTTGTCCGTCTGCATAACTGGGAGATGGAGGCAGGTGAGAAAGGAAGGATCTGACCGACTGGTGCAACTGTTCCTTCCCTCTCCAGGAGCCAAAATATCTGAGTCAAATTTCACCACTGACTGCTCAGTTAGAGGGACTCTGCTTTCTAGTCATCTCCCAGGGGACAGCAGCAGTTTCTGCCCTGAGGGAGGTCAGGTCTCCGGGCTGGAATTTGGCCCAGTGTTGCGCTCTCTGAAAGGAGAGATCATGCCCTAACCGTGCAGGTCTCTGCAAGGAGACTGCAGCTCTGAAGGACACATGGAGTAGCTGTAACATCCTCTATGGACAGACAACAGGACACTTACATCCGCAAACACTTATCCTTCCCTCCGCTGGCTACCCTCTGTCCGTCCGGGCTCCAATCTGTTGCATACACCTGGTATTAGGGAAGACACAGTTATCTCTGCTGGGAGGAGGAGTCATTCCTGCCTCTCTCAAACACCTCGGCTTGACCAGACACCTCACCTCATCCGCATGACCGGGAAGATCAATGGCCAGTTTCTTCATCTTGGCATCCCAGACCTTCAGCGTGCTGTCACTGCTCCCACTCACCAGCAAGCGGCTGTCGGCTGACCAGGCGATCTGATACACAGCCGAGACGTGCCCTCTCAGCGACGTCAGGTACCTGGTGCGGAGGAGGCACAAAGCAGCTATTAGAGGATCAAGCAGCTGAGTTTGTTCCAAACCTGCCCTTGCCCAGCCTTCATGTTTCTCCTCCACTTGTGAGCAAGCAAGCACAGCCACGGGATGCCCAGCACACCCCAAGCCAGCACACACAAGGCAACTGCTATACAGAGGCCATATGTGGTTCGGTCTGTCTAAAAACCCTCCCAGATGGGCTCAAAGCCTTCTAGAGGATGGCTCTTCATCTCAACTCCCCTGCCAAGAAACCCTTATCCAGCAGGCAACACTACAGCCTTACTGAGCAGCATGGATTTAGAAGGACCATTAAAATTACTGACATGAAACCTGAGCTTGCCAGTATGAAGGCAGAACAAGGGAAGGACTGCTGCTCCAGAGAGCTCACCCATACTCTAGCAGAACGTTAAAAGCTGAAGTACAGGAGCATCCAAACACCAACAGCACCATTTGTAACTACAAGAATTCACATTGTCAAGAACAAGCTGTTCCCTGGCACAGGAACTGTTTAAACTGGGTCAGTCTACAGCATGCAACACACATGTCTTCAGGAGGGCAGCTGAATGGAACATCCCATCCCACCGCAGCTGTGCCTGCCCTGGAGAACCAACCCTGCAGCAAGCAGCATGTGTCGCGTGGGTGCCAGGCAGCGCTGTGGCTGGCGACACATGCCCGACCAAGCACAGACCCAGTAACACAAGAGGAGCGGAAAAGGGACTTCCCAAAGGCAGAGAGAGACAGAGGCAGCAGAATTTCTTGACATGAGTTCAGGCCAGGGAGTTGCTGTCAATGACGCTGGGGCCCATCTCTGCGTAACCTGTGGATTACGAGCAGACCCCAGAGAAGCACCACCTCTGTAACAGAACAAACCAACTCACTTTCCTGTCCTTCCATCCCAGAGCTTTATGGACTTGTCAAAGGAAGCACTGGCTATTATGCGAGTGTCTGGCGAGAAGAGGACTTGGTTAATCAATGCCTGGTGGCCTGTCATTCTCTCCAGTGGCTTCTTGTCTTCTGCTGGTCTCCAAAGAAAGAGCGTGAAGTCATCTGAGCCTGAGACAAGCCTTTCTGGTTCCTGGCCCTGACAAAGGGATGAAAGAACCGAAATCTTGTACAAGCCAGATGCAGAGAGCTTGGAAACACATCAGTGTGGGGGTCAACAATCAACTGTGCATGTTTACTGCTTCCACCAGTAAGTGTGTTAGAAACGACAGCAGGGACAAAAGGGACTTACCCTGACTTGGTCATACCTCTGCTGTGCCTTGTCCTTCAGTTCTGCCACTGAAAGAGGGAAAGGGAGAGGGGAAGGAAGAGAGTTTTGCAATCCTTAGGTGAACGGAAACTTTATAACCCTGTGATGCCAATTCCAATCCTGGCTCTGTGGGCCAAGCAGACATTTGTGACTGCTCACCCACTTTCTCTTTGCCAAGGGCGATACTAGGAGCAAATGCCCTTGAAAACAGAGTGGCATTCCCATCTCCCAGACTGCTCAACCCTGTGCATGGACAAGGAAGATCATGGCTGCCAGCATGACTGATACCAGCACAGCACATGCTCCCAGCTCTCAAGATTGTTTTGGCTTGTGGCAGCATTAAGACAACACTTGGCCCTTCCCACCACCTCCCCCAGTCTACAACGTGGGTGCTGCACTTACAAGAGCCGCTCACGTCCTGTGGGTTGATGGTGGCATCAGCAGGTTCGAAGGCACCAGTGCGGAGAACGTAGTCGGTGCTAAGGGCCATGGTGTTCACCCAGTGAGCGTGGCCCTGTAAGGTGCGGCAGAGGACCCCCTGGAAACAAAACCACCTGCTTAGAGAGGGACAGGCAGAATAAAGCTAAACTGCACAGGACCCACCACGCTGCAGGGTGTGACCCTAAACTTCCCAAATCCTCTTGCCCAAGTGGCAGGCAGGATTGTAGCCAGGCTTGGAAGGGAAGAAATGCCACTACTGAGCTTCAGGGAGCAGTTTCCTGCAGGGCCTTGCAAAGAACCCACCAGGACAGGTTGTTCCAAGGTTGTTTCCAGCTTTTAGCCCTGTTTTATCCTTTTAGGGATGAAAACATTGCACAACAGCTACCCCTTCCAAACAGTGCTAAGCAACAGGCTCTGCCAGGTCAAGAGGATACAGCACCCACTCTGCACCTCCACCTTCCAGGGCACAATCTGTGCCAGGAAGAGCAGACAAAGCTACAACACAGCATGCCCAGCCCCTTCTGCCAGCAACCCCAGGGCGGCTCGCCTCACTTACGTCCCGGCTCCTCCAGACTTTGATGGTCCTGTCCTGGGAGGAGGAGTAGAGCAAGCCATCGCCTCCCCACTTCACACACGTCACCGACTGCGTGTGGCTCGTGAGGATTTTGTCACACTTGCCCATCACTGTGTCCCAGATGCGGATGCTGCCGTCTTTGGAGGCGCTCGCCAGGTAGCGGCACTCTGGATTTCTGGGCAAAAAGAAGATCAAATTCAGTTGTGCAGCGCACAGAGCTCCTCCACGGAGCTCTTTCCCCATCAGCCCCAGAGGATTCAAAGGCCCAGAAGTCAATAAAAGACAACTTTCTCTTTTGGCTTAAAACCAGAGAAAGGCTGGGCAGGGGTGGACCTACAGAGGACAAAATCCCACAAGGCAGGGGAGAGGCAGACAGATGCTTCCCTCCAAACCAACTTCTGGGCTGCACGCTGGAGGCATCAATCCAGGGTAAACCTGGCATCTGAGCTCTTGGCAATGACCTTGTCTTCACAGGAGGCAGCTTTAACCCGCTGGCTAACAAGAGGACCAAACACTGGCACCTTTGGGCAGGGGGATCAGTCTGCCTTATGCAGGCAGCACAGACTGGCAGCAAAGGTAACGTGTCGACTGCTCCCCTGCCTATGCCATGCTTTGCCTCTGGCGGGAAACGTGCTGGCCTGTGCACAGAGTGCTGCTGTGCTGGCAGGGCGAGGAGCAGCAATGCCCATCCACGTGGCTCACAGGGGCAAATTTAACACATCTGGAAGCAGCTGGCCACAGCCCTCTGTCCTTTGCACATCTTTATCACTCAACATGGTTTTAATGACAAAGAAAGCGGTCCCTGGCATGAGCAGCAGTGTGGAAGAGCATGGCTCCTCCTGTTGTGCAGGAACCGAGTGGGGAGCACAACTGCCTGGAGACAGGGAAGTGGAGCCCTGGCAGGATCACCTCCCTCCTCTCCATTTCCTCATCCTCCTTTATAATCAGTTTTTGCTAATCCAGTTAATTGTTTGCAAATAGCTGGAGTTTCCTACTGGCAAATTCAATTTGCAGGGCTCTGCTCTGAAGGGGCTCTTTTTCTTTTTATTTATTTATTTCTACAATGTCTTGGATTACTGGCTACAACTGTGCCCTTCCATCCATCTCTCCCAGACAGAGCTTTAGCTGATCAAAGGGATAAGGGGGAATTAATCAGCCCTCATGATAAATAAACCAGATGACAGAGGCAACCAGGATGCAGGAGAATGGGAAGGGAGCACTCTGCAGAGCCTGAACTCAGGCACTACTCAGACAGGCTTTCCTGCTCCCAGCTCAGCACACCAGGGAGGAGAATGTTGGTTCAGCACCGTGAAACCATTAAGCCTTTTCCATAAGCAGGTGTGTCTTTTACACAGAGGAAAAGAGGCACGGCCCAGCAGAGACTTCCCCAGCACCCGCACAGGGACTGCGAGCAGCGGCTGGGACCCCTGGCTCTGAGCTGGATACAATTTTCCTGTCCCACGTTGGAGGCTGCTCTCCTGCACGCACCCCCTCTGTGCACCGTAACGGGAGCAGTGCCCTTCAGGTCAGGCTGCTCTTTTCCATAGGAGTAAAGGGGAAGGGCTGGGCTGGCCCTTCACTTACATGTGGAGCGGTTCCCAGCACAGACACGTGATCCATTTGGAGTGGCCAGAGAGCACCCGGCCGATCTGATTGCCCGTGGCTGGGTCCCAGAGAAATATCTGTCCAAGAGAGGAAGCAAAAAGGTTGCGTCAGGCCACTCATCATGTGAATCCCAGGGACGTTTGGGCTCCATTTAGAAAGTATAGGTGTCCTTCGGGTTGTATTTACATTGGCAGAGGCAGGGAGCAGAGAGGGAGGGGGCAGGAGGGCTGGATGCCTTTCCAGATCCCTGCAGCAACCAGCTGACATCTCAAAGCATGAGACCTGATCATCCTCCTCTCTGCCTAAAATGCTGCTGCTACAAAAATATCCACCTCAACCCAAAACCGACCCAGGTCCCTGAAAAGCCAGCCTGAGCCTTTGACATCCTGTGCCAGAGAGTTAGTGAATGTTTGCAGAGCGCAATGAAAACCAGAGCGCGCTAAACGCTACTTATTATCGGATTCTGTGGGTGGGACACATGCTGGTTTTCTCTTGTTTTTTCTCTCTCTACATAAATGTTCATCCAATGAGCCAAGGCATTAGTCATCTCCTACTTAAGAACCTGGGAAAACAGGGAAACAGAGGACAAGCGGCTCCCTAGGTTAGATTAAAGCCAGAACAGCACCAAACCAGGGCAGAACCACCTCGGCCTGGCCCGTTTCCTTGGGGCTGGTACCACAG